AGATAATTGACAGTCAACATTTCAACTCCCAGGATTCCTGGCTGGCTGGGGAATTCTGGGAATTGAAGTCCCCACATCTTAAACGATGCCAAGGTTGAGAAACTGCTGTAATAAATACAAACGTTGAGCATCTTGGTTGACTTAGCTGCCTTGTTCCGTCTTAGGCCCAGTATTCTTCAATATCTTTGTAAATGACTTAGATGAGGGAATTGAAGGGGAACTCATCAAATTTGCAGATGACACCAAACTGACAGGAGTAGCCAACACTCCAGAAGACAAACTCAGGATCCAAAAAGATCTTGACAAACTTGAACAATGGGCCCTATCCAACAAAATGAGTTTCAATGTGGAGAAAAGCAAAGTCTTACACTTAGGCAGGAAAAACCAAAGGCACAAATACAGATTGGGTGAGACCTGGCTCAAAAACAGTAACTGTGAGATGGACCTTGGAGTCCTGATAGACCAGTGGTTCTCAACCTTTTTAATGCCGCGACCCCAACCGGTTGTAAGTCGAGGACTAAACCGGTCGTACGTCGAGGACTAAACCGGTCGTAAGTCGAGGACTACCCAACCGGTCGTAAGTCGAGGACTTTCCCTGCCCGGGAGCGCCACGCATGCATGGTTCCGCCCCCTGCGCCGGCCGAGGCGTAGCTGGCAAGCGGCAGAGACGGAGCTGGCTGACCACCAGCTGGCCCAGCCCAAGGGAGGTAAGGCACCCGCCGGAAAAGGGGGAAAAAAATGGCGGACAAAAAAAATGGACAAAAAAAATGGCAGACAGCCTTGCTTGGCGACCCCCATGAAATGGTCGATCGACCCCAAATGGGGTCCCGACCCACAGGTTGAGAACCACTGTGATAGACGATCACTTGACTATGAGCCAGCAATGTGCAGCAGCAGCCAAAAAAAGCTAACACAATCCTGGGTTGTATACATAGAGGCATAGAATCAAGATCACGAGAAGTACTATTACCGCTTTATAAAGCCTTAGTAAGACCACACCTAGAATACTGCAGCCAATTTTGGTCACCATACCACAAAAAAGATGTTGAGAGTTTGGAAAAAATGCAGAGAAGAGCAACTAAGATGATCCAAGGCCTGGAGACTAAAACATATGAAGAAGGGCTGCAGGACTTGGGTTCGGCTGGTCTAAAGAAAATAAGAAATAGGGGAGACATGATAGCAGGGTTCCAGTATTTGAGGGGCTGCCACAAAGAAGAGGGGGTTAAATTATTCTCCAGAGGACCAGAGGGCAGGACAAGAAACAATGGTTGGAAACTGATCAAAGAGAGAAGCAACCTGGAATTAAGGAGAAACTTCCTGACAGAGAGGACAATTAACCAGTGGAACAGCTGGCATCCAGAAATCGTGGGCGCTCCATCACTGGAGATTTTTAAAAAGAGACTAGAGACATTCACCTGTCTGAGACTGTATAGGTTCTCCTGCTTGAGCAGGGCTGGACTAGAAGACCTCCAAGGTCCCTTCCATATATTATTCTATTCTATTCTATTATTCTATTCTATTATTCTATTCTATTCTATTCTTCTTTAGTCTAGTTCTGCTCTACTCTTGTTCTATTGTATTCTATACTCTACTCGGCTATAAATTCCTTTCAGTTTTTTCTTTTGCAAATGACCCAAGATATACCCGTACAGGTAAACCTCGATGTACAACCATTCATTTAGTGAGTGTTCAGAATTACAACAGCCCAGAAAACAGGTGACTTATGACCATTTGTCACACTTATGACTTCTGCAGCATCCCCGTGGTCACGCGATCAGAATTCAGATACTTGGCAACTGACTCACATTTATGACGGTCGCAGTCTCCCAGGCTCCTGTGTTCCCCTTTTGCGACCTGGCTGGAAAAATTCAATGGGGAAGCTGGATTCACTTAACAACTGAAGTGACTAAGTTACTAACTTTTTTACTAACTTAACAATTGCAGTGATTCACTTAACAACCCAAGTAAGTTACTAACTTAATTGCAGTGATTCACTTAACAACCTCAGTGACTAATAATTAACTTTTACTAACTTAATTCCAGTGATTCACTTAACAACCTCAGTGACTATTAACTTTTACTAACTTAATTCCAGTGATTCGCTTAAGCTCAGTGACTAAGTTACTAACTTAATTGCCAGTGATTCACTTAACAACCGAAGTGACTAATTAATTTTTACTAACTTAACAATTGCATTGATTCAATTAACCCAAGTGATTAAGTTACTTAATTGCAGTGATTCACTTAACCTCAGTGACTGTTACTAACTTAATTGCCAGTGATTCACTTAACAACCGAAGCGACTAAGTTACTTTTACTAACTGAACAACTGCAGTGATCCGCTTAATAGCTGGGGTGGAAGAGGTGGTAAAAGGGGACAACGCTCACTTTTAACGGCCTCGCTTAGCAGTGGTCATTTGGGGCTCCGTCGCGGTCGTAAAGCCGAGGACTACCCTTACACCGGACCTGCTTTCGGGCCTTCCCTTGTCTCTCGCTTCCTCCAGTTCCAGCACGGGGTGATCGTGGCGGCGGATTCCCGCTCGACGGCCGGGGTCTACGTCGCTTCGCAGACGGTCAAGAAGATCATCGAGATCAACCCTTACCTGCTGGGCACCATGGCCGGGGGTGCCGCCGACTGCAGCTTCTGGGAGCGACTCCTCGCCCGGCAGTGCCGCATTTACGAACTCCGCAACAAGGAGCGGATCTCGGTGGCCGCCGCCTCCAAACTCTTAGCCAACATGGTGTACCAGTACAAGGGCATGGGCCTCTCCATGGGCACCATGATCTGCGGCTGGGACAAGAGGGGGCCAGGTGAGCAGTTGACCCGTTTCGTTTGTGGCCTTTACAGAATGCTTTGCAGGCTAGTCCTCGGCTTAACGACCACTTAGTGACCGCTCGGAGTTACAACGGCACTGAAAATAGGGACTGCTGACTAGTTTTTACACGACTGTCGCAGCATCCCCTTGCTTACGTGGTTTATATTGGGATGCTTGGCGACCGACTCGTATTTACGACGGTCGCAGCATCCCCTTGCTCACGTGATTTAGATTCGGATGCTTGGCGACCGACTCGCATTTACGACGGTCGCAGCATCCCCTTGCTCACGTGATTTATATTCGGATGCTTGGCGACCGGTTCGCATTTACGACGGTCGCAGCATCCCCTTGCTCACGTGGTTTATATTCGGATGCTTGGCGACCGACTCGCATTTACGACGGTCGCAGCATCCCCTTGCTCACGTGATTTAGATTCGGATGCTTGGCGATTGACTCGCATTTACGACGGTCGCAGCATCCCCTTGCTCACGTGATTTATATTCGGATGCTTGGCGACCGACTCGCGTTTACGACGGTCACAGCATCCCCTTGCTCACGTGATTTATATTCGGATGCTTGGCGACCGGTTCGCATTTACGACGGTCGCAGCATCCCCTTGCTCACGTGATTTAGATTCGGATGCTTGGCGATCGACTCGCATTTACGACGGTCGCAGCATCCCCTTGCTCACGTG